TAAATGAACCAGAAGAGTAAATATAGTCTATCCATGTTTATTGAAAAGTTGGTCAGCCTGGAGCTTAATGACTGTTTTTCTCAGTTTATAATTTAATGAATTAAATTTAATACTATGTTATCATGACAAGTTTTAGCTGACGCGATTTAATTTGGTTTTTAACTTTTCAGATTGAGGCAGGCTTCAGCAACGCGTTAGCAGGTTTCCGCTTTGATTCACTGTTTGACTACGGCAACAGCCTTGAGGACAGTAAGGCCGCTAACATTGTCAACGATCACTACAGCTACTTGATGCTTGTTGTTCAGCCTAAACTGCAAGAAAGGAACAAGAAACGGAAGGACAAGGATGACCTAACATATCCCTACTTCATCCCAAGATGGATTCCGAACGGAGTTCAGACCTAGTTCATTGGGGTTGCTTTTTTTGTGTCATTCTATGGGATGTATATAATAACAAAGGCATGCTTAGATATTGGCACGTTTAGGAGTGCTAATGCAAAACGTAAACTAATGTGACTGATGTATTTTCTAAAGATCAAGTTTGATTAAGATTAAAACACCAGCACGCACAAGATTTTGTTTTGTTTTTGTTGCGGTTAAAATGTAATTTATTCCTTCACCCAGATACCCTACTTCTTTTGAAAAACATATCACATAGAATTGAAATCTGAAAATGTCACCGCTACATTTATTTAATAATTTGTTTTGGAAAAGCGAGTCGTAATGGGGGGAAACGCGCTAACCCAAGTCTCCAATACTCTGCTATGTTATAAAATAAGAAAGCGAGCAAAAAACAAAAAAAACCATGGATGAGAAAATAAAAATAAAAGTGTGTTATGAACATTGCTGTGAACCAGGTTAAAGGTAGAAAGTAAAGCGTCCTTAATTTACGTCGGTAGCTGAATGTAACTAACAAACCTGACGTGAGGTGGGTTGCGCTCATTTTACCCAATGTTTACCCTTTTCTCTCCATCAGTGCTCCGCCCGCTCCGCCCGCTGCGCCTTAAGGGTTTTTTAAGCTACTCAAAGCTACTCAAAAATGAGAGAAGTCCAAACAATGATTTAAAGTCACTCCTGGGAGTCGAACCGGGGGCTTCTCGCACAGAAGGCCGCAAACTCGACCAACTTTCCTTGGCCTTAGCTTTGTTAGTAGATGTACTTAACTCCTTCACCGACGCAAATCACAGGTTATGCAGAGAAAAGAACCAGTGATTCATTTTTTTTAAACTAGCAGATACCCGTAGCGAAAGATCGATTTTGGGGGATGGGGGTGCGGCGCTACGATATGCAAATGTGCCACTCACTCGCTAAGGTGTCGTCATCTCCGTAATTATAACGAGAACGTCGAATGTCAAAATCAAAAAAGGAAAAGAAATAGAATGTTTGCTTACAAATAGGAATTTTATGTCTTTTCCCGAGATTTATTTTCAGTTTCAGTTATTTCATTTTAACTAGGTGTTACGGCAGGGTAATGGCATAAATATTTCCTCTTAGCTAATTAATTATTCATACAGCAAACAAATTTTCAAGCCGTTGTATGAGAATCATTCTTTGCTCTATAAATGAGCAAAATATGCATCGAGCTTACCTTTTTCGTTTTCTTGTGATTATTTATGTATTAGCTGCTTCTCAGGCCTATTAGGCACATTTAAATGCCTTTCTAGGTTTGCGACACGTTGCCAAGTGAAAGGTTTTGTGTTCAAAAGGTTGATAAATATTCAAGAAATTCGTTTAAATTGAATTTTTAAGGTTGGTTTACTTTCTTGGGCTTTATATGTATTTTAAACATATATTTTGCTCAAAAAAATTCCTCAGAAAGGCAAAGTTGCTCGAGGCTGCTAAAACTGCAAAAAGTTGCTCCCAACGCCAAAAGTTGCCGAGCACAATCGGGACAGACCTAAGGGGCGTTACCACGTCACGTGACACCCAATCAAAACCCTAGAGGAATAATCTTAGACTAGTAGTTGTTCAAGGCTGGGTAAGATTGGGTATCCTTATATTTCGTACATATTTGCGAGTAACTTTGTAAAGCTAAGTTTCACTGAGCTATTTTTCTTGACTGACGTTAGCAATTATTGTGGCGAACGAAAAATAAAGCGTTTGATTCTTTCAATTAACATTTATATAAACATTAAGCATGTTACAAGCACAATCGGGACACTAAATCATTGACTTACTGCTTCGAAAATATAATGTTTAAAATTGAAGGATCGTATTAAGGATCGAAGGGAGGGAATGATTACAACTTCTATTGTGCACATGATTAGATCTTTCAACTAATTGTATAGTCAATTTAGGATATCCTCTCTCGATCATAAGTTTGCCGGATGCTTAACCCTATTCAGACTGGGCTTTTTTGGTCAATCTGTGACTGGGGGGGGGCTCCTCGGACCCCCCCTCTGTATCTCTGGAACCAATAATGCTAGGGTCATGAAATTTACACACAATGATCATCTCCGTACAAAGAAGCCCACACCCAGTTTTGACTTGCCACGCCCAATGATGACGTCACAGTGACGTCATATTCCGATTTTTCAATGTTTCTTATTATTTTTCCACTTAGATACGTAAAATATCAATAATATTGGTAAAGTCACCTCTTTAATATAATATACAACACATATGCATATAAAATACACACTTGTACAGCGAGAAAAAGCAATAGGAAGCAATAAAATTTAAAATTTGAAATGGTTGTCCGCCATCTTGGATCCGCCATCTTGGATCCGCCATCTTGGATCCGCCATCTTGGATCCGCCATCTTGGATTTCCGTTTTTTTGTTAAAATTATAATTTAAAGCAACTTT